ATCTCTTACAAAGTTTCTTCTATTTTGGCAATTGAGGCATGTTCAAGAGAGATCTATATGAAGAACCTGGTTCATCAGTATGTGTTCATATGAAAAGCCCAGGTATGTTTTCTATACTCTGCACAATTAGAAAGATTATTTTTCCAATCATGAGCAGAAGTCCTACATTCATCAAATTCCCAGAAATTTTATCCGTTGAGCATTGAACCAGTTTCGTTCCCCTAGAACTCTAAAAACCGGGATTTTTGCCTACAATCTAGCAATGCCTAATAATCACTAAGAGACCGAAATTACACCTTGAGTAGACTTCTAATTGATCCCTGAAAAAGCTACCGTTACTGCATTTAAGTCTAATCACCTTTAAATACACCACACCTTTTCTTCTTTAGTCCATAACCGTCAAAACTCTTCTCAAGTTCTGATCACCCTTCTTCTCTCCAAAATTCCCAAATTTTTCAAGAAACAATCCACCATGTCTAACCCCTAAGTTAATCCTAGCACACCCCCACCAGCATCTCCCTCGAACACATCCTCATCTACTCCTCCTATTGAAAACCCAAAACCTAGGTTTCGTAGGCAGAAAATGATAGCTAGAAAAACTGTAGCTTCTGGAGCTTTAAGGAAAGCTCTAAGTGAGCAATTGAAGGCTAGCTAGAGGAAGGAAAGTCATGCTCAAAAATCTGACTTAAGCTCTGAGTCTGATGATTTTATTTCTGCCAGCGAAGGTGAAGAACATGGGTCTTCTGACACTGAAAATATTCAAGAAAACCCTGGTGAGGTAAATACTTGCTTGGTATTCTCTGATGTGGTTGAAAAAGTTGAAAATAGGTTTGTCTTGGTTGGTCCTGTTAAAGATGTACAGGGGGCTGATTCTAGTAGAAGAGGAGGTAAAAAGAAAGAAAAAGAGAGAGAGGGAGTCAGTAGTAATGTGAGGGAAATAAGAAAGAAAAGGTATTGGCTATCTGTAAAGGTGTTGAAGAAGGTGGCAACAAGTCAGGGGGAAGTAGTTCTGGGGAGGCGGCTGAAGGGCTTGTTAATTTAAGCAAGCAATAAAATGAACCGGGTTCATCTGCTGAGGAAACTTTGACAGATCTTCTGAAGAAGGTTGGTGCCACTTATGATCCAAAGAAGCGCAAGGCTTCCACACAAAAGGCTCCAACTGCTTCAAAGCCAACAAAGAAAAGCAAAATGTCATCCCCAAAACCTACTGTACCTTCAGTACCTAAGGGAAGAGCTACCAGAAGCAGGGTCAAACAAAGTGAAGCAGAATTGCAGAAAGCTCTGGAAGAGAGCAGGAAGAAAAAGAGGGGGAAGGGAAAAGAAAAGGTTGTGGAGAGTTCTGAGATTGCAGAAGAAGAAGAAGAGGAGATGGAACTGGTCCATCAGGAAAGAGGAACAACTGAAGAGGTTCCCACACCCAAACCAAAAAGTTCCAAGACTTCTTCCAAGAAGTCTTCCTCTATACCTGTACCTGCTGAATCTTCTTTAGCCAAAAGAACTAGGTTTGTTGTGAAGGGAAAACAAAAGAAAATTGTAGAAGAAGATGAAGAGTGAAGTGGTGGAGAAGAAGAAGAGGAATCTGAGAAAGACCAAGATAGGTTTGCCATCTTTGGCAGAAGAAAAATTCTGAAAGGAAGACTATTAAGAGACCTGGATGATCCAGGTATGAGAAGACTGGTGGATGCTCTTACTGCACAAGGGTGGAAGGACATGGTCCTTGAGATGGATGGGAGGCTGGCTAGGAATGAATTGATTGAATTTATGGCCAATGCCACTGTGGAAAATGGGATAGTCTCCACCCTGGTGAAGGGTGTAAAAGTGAAGTTTGATGCAATCAAACTGGGTGAGATTCCGGGCATACCTAATGAAGGGTATGATGATTATACAAGGCAAAGGTGGCCATGTCTGGAATCTCTCCCCACTGCTCTTCAAATTACTAGAAATTTTTGTGATGCTGCTACTGCTGAAGATGTACCTGAAGCCAGATTTGTGAAGAAAAGTGAGATGAGACCTGAGCACAAGGTATTGTTTGAATTTGTTAACAAGTGCCTGCTGCCCAAACAAGAGAGGAGGTATACTGCCAACTACATGGACCTAGTGCTTATGGAGTGTCTTGTGAGGGGAATGTAGATAAATTGGCCTGCTTTCATTGTCAAACTACTAGACAGGGTCATTAATGGCTCCAAGGCACATGCAACTCCTTATGGGTTCATACTGACTACTGTGCTGGACAAGCTAAGGGTGCCTTTGAAGAAATGGGAGATGGCATCAAGCATGGAGCATTTTGGTGTTAAGACCTTATTGGCTTGTGACTATCCTGTCAATGCCACCCCAGTTGAACCTGGTTCATCTCTGAAGACACCTGTGAACAGCAAGGTTAGGGCTTTGGTTCAAGAGTGTGGAACTAAGGATGCTGAAATTGCTAGGCTTCAGGCTCGTGTTGCTGAATTGGAAACTGAAAGATATGGCCTTAGAGCTGAGCTAGCAAAAGAAAAGGAGAAAAGTGAGGGGATGCTTCAGAATATGCTCAACCTTCTCCAGCCCTCTAGTTCCTCCAAGCCTTAGGTCCTCCAATTGTTGTCTTCTGAACCAGTCTAGTAACCCCTCAGTGTCCCAGATTAGGGACTTTTTCTGTTTTTTTGCTCATGTTTGGAAGTTTTTCTTTCTTTTTGTGGTTTATAGGTGGAAACATATCGTATCAATGACAACTGCTGTTTCTCTTGTTCTATGAAGATTTTGTTCTTAATAGTTTAAATGTGTTTGTTGATTATTGATGATTTAATCCATGTTTTCACTTGCAGTTGCCCAAGTGGCCATGAGTAATGACTAAAATCTGGGATTCACATTGTATGCAACTTTTCGATGATGCCAAAAGGGGGAAGAGATATGTGCTTTAATTTTATTCTGAATAATGTGATATTTATAACCTAAATTAAACCTGGTCCTTGATGATAAGTTAAGTGTTGATAGTTAAGCTGAGTTATTACAGGTTTTTTGATTCATAAAAGCACAGAGTTTGTCATCATAAAAAAGGGGGAATTTGTTGGCCCAAGTTCAGGTGAAGTTTTGAAGAATGACAAATGAACTCAGTATGGACCAGGTCCATCATGTGAGACACAGTATTTATCAACCTAGACATGTGAGATACATGTGAAGGAGATAAGTCTCAGTGATCAAGTAGCAATATCTCCTGAACTAATCGAAAAGGTTGCATATTGGAGGAGGAGAGAAACTCTCCTCATGGGAAGAGGACACAATCCGGATAAAGGATAGGTTGGAGTTTGTATTGTTCAAGGACTCAACTTCAATGGAAGATCGGCAATTGAGTCTTAATCAAACTCTGATTACTAACTCATTAAATAACAGTGATTGTTCTCTTTTACAGGTATTGCACAAACGCATAAGTTAAACTAAATTGGGAGCAAAAGAGCGAGGAAATTTTGCAAGCAATTTTTGTGAGATTCAAGTGTGCATTCCTGAAGCTACTTGGACAAGATAGAAGAACCAATTCCATTGTGTCTTTCTTTTATTCTCGTTCAATTGTAGTAGGTGTTTTAAAGTTGTACCTTTCCAGCTTTCATAGAAGCAATTGTATTAGGTACTTTGAGTATTCAAGTTAGAGTTAACTTGAAGGTGTCGCAACAATTGAGGCTGTGTGCCATACTGGGATTAGAGTTTAATCCTTAGGTTTACAAGAGTTTTGTAAATGCTGTTTTGGCTCAGTGATTTTAGTGGAAGTTTGGGAAAATCCTACTGAGTAGTAGATCGTGGTTTTTTCACCTTTTGAGCCAGGTGTTTTTCACGTAAAAATCTATGTGTTCTTTATTTTATGTACTCTTAATTCCGCAAACAGTAGTAGTAAGTACACCTAGAAGAACCGGGTTCTTTTAGAGCGAAAATTGGGTACCACACAAATCACCCCCCATATTGTGTGGTATTGACGTTTAGAACATCACTGCCACATCCTCTTATGACAAGCGTAAGTGGCGTGAATTGGTGAGGGGCCGATGGGAGGCCAAGAACCACAGCCTTGGAGACGAGTCTGAGATGAGGTCGGCCCCGCTCGGGGAAACGACCAAGCCTTCAAATCCAAAGCCTGAGAAGGATAATAAAAGAAAAAGGGTCTCGGAGCCCGAAGACCCCCAAGACAAGAAAACCTCCACTCGAAGGCTACGAAAAAGGTTTGCTCAAACGGGCACAGACTCAGCCCATGACTCATCGGATGATGAGGAAAATGATGGGGAAGAATCGGCGCTGGTGACTCGGACCGGGAACTTAGTCGAGGCCGTCAAGCCTCCCGAACAAGAAAATCCACCTTTTGGCGAGGATGCCCAAAGGGAAGAGACGGGCAAGGCCCTCATATCCCCGGAGGTTGAGATTATCCCTCCTTCTTCAACAACTATACCAGAGGGGGTAAATGTTGAGGCCCCCAAGGTTAATGAGAATGCCCCGAGTGAAGAGATCGAGGCCACGACAACAGGTCATTCTCTTTCATTGCCAACTTATTTTGGGGAGGCAATCGAGGAAGCCAACACTTTGCATATGCCTGACCGAAGTAAGGCCATCGCGGCCTTCCACAGTTTCTATGCTGGGGTTGAGGGTGTCGATGACTTCAATGATGCATCCTCCATTTTTGAAGAGGCCCAGCGTCTCTTTCTCCGGGTAAAGACCTGCCCTATCTATTGCAAGTTTTTCTCCCTTTGTTTTCCTCTTCCACTGATGTGTCTTTATTTCATGTATAGGCTGTTATAAAGTTCAAGGCTGAGCTGAAACAATGTGAGGTCGAGCTCAAGAGAGTCTCGGGCGAAGAAAAGGCCTTGAGGCTCCTTTGTAGTTAGAAGGAAAAGGGGCTTAAGGACCACCGGACTGCTTTGGCCAAAGCTCAAAAAAGCGAGTCCGAGCTGGACGAGCAGGTAACTCTGATTTTAACAAAGTTCGGCATTCTTGGCCCTGCTTCCGAGGCTAATACTTCGACGTCTTAGCTGCAGCAAAAGCTAGACATGATTGGGCAGCTCCGGGGAGTGGTAAACCAAGTTCGGGTTGATTGCCACCAGTGGAAGGAGAACATGGATCGACTCACCACCAAAAAAGAAGCTGTTAAGGCTCAACTGACCTCGGCTGAAGCTCAAATCCGAGGTGCTGAAGCGAAAGGCTTGGATCTGGCCAGGGAAATCGAGGAGCTGGAGGCCGAGCTGACTAAAGCCCGGACTGAAGCTGCATATGCTAAGGCTGAAGTTGCACAAGCCAAAACCAAGGCTAAGAAAATGAAAGTTGTGGACGATAAATCCATTGCTATATACCAGAAATAAGCCACGGCCATTCAAGCTGAGTTGAGGGCAGCCTCCAATCGGGCGAAACGGAGCGGTGAATTGGCTAAGTGTCAAGCCGGGAGGGAGACTCTCGAGGAAGTCCGTGCTCGAGGATTTGACCTTGCCGAGGAGATAGCCGAAGCACAGGCACGGGAAACCGATGCTAGGTTTCTTGTCTCTTCTGATGATGAAGACGTGGTGAGTGGTTACGGGGACGGGGAAAGTGAAGAAGATGCTCCTGAAGGGGAAGAGGCTTCAGAAGATAAAGCCATATGAGATGAAGACGGCACTCATGGGGACGAGGCCCCGAAAATAGATTAGGTTTCTATTTTTGTATAAGAGTCATTCGTTGTAATATGCTTTGTAAATTTCCCGAACGAATATAAAGTAGCTTTTTGCTCTATTCCTGATTTGTGCTGACCTTTTATTTTGTCTCCGTTCATAAAAAATTCTGATGATTCACGTGTTAAGTTTGAGTATTTGTTTAGACTCGCAATAAGCCCTTAGGCTTTTATTTCCCAAGATCGTACCCCTTAGGGTTTCAGATAATCCTCGAGCCAAACTTAAAGTTAAAATAATGCGAGCTCGGGGCCTTTGGGTCCGAGTTAAGCGAGAACGGGGTCTCAGATTCCCATAGGTCTTTGACCCTATATTTATTTTTAAGCTGACCCTTAGGCTCTTATATATCGGCCTTTAGGCTCTTTTTGGTTGGCCCTTACGCTCTTTAAATTGGGTCGTTTCGGCCTCTAAAAATGGATATATAGTTTCCCTCACTTCGGCTAAAAGACTTAATCGAGTTTGAGTTATGCCTTAGCATGTATTTCATACCCGTTGGGTTTTTAGAAGGCTCGACGTATCGAAACATTATTAGTCGATTTTGTTAGCGTGGACATAATCGAATGCCTCTTAAGGGTTTTCCGAAGGCTGGTGTTATTGAAGCCCTTGGATCGTTCGAGGGCTAATTTGTCGAAGCCCTTGTTCGAGGGATGATTTGTCGAAGCCCTTATTCGAGGGCTGATTTATCGAAGCCCTTAGATTTTTCGGGGGCTGAATTTTATCGAGGCCCCTTATATTTTGCTTTTGCCGAGGGTAGCCTGATTTAACCGGTTTTCTTTTTAATGTTTGAAGGCCTTTAGTTTTATTGCGAAAGTCGGACGTCTCCGAGTCGCATTATTTTGGCCGTAGCCTTTATGTGACCGTAGTCTTTGGTATGGCCGTAGCCTTCGGGTTTGTCACTTGGACTCGTTTCCCAATAACTTTCCGAACTTGTTCGAAAAGTTAGTCGCCGAGTGAGTTGGCCTTGGCCTTCATTTCGGGTGGGTGACTCTTCGAGGTCTTATGATGCCTCTTTGAGGTCTTATATTAACTGTCATTGACAGTCCGGAGGTGTTTCGAGGCGCTTTGGCTCTTGAGTCGTTTCCCGTATGATTGTAAGTATAGAGCTCGTATGAGATACAAGGTGTTTTTTGATATAACTAGAATGCTTCTTCAAATAGTTAATACATACGTACATGTTTTGCCATCGGGGCTCGATTATTCTATATGGACACGATTCATTTGACCGTTTGGCCCATTGCAAAGTTCTCCTACCGAGGCCCTTTTAGGCGTGAAATATTTTTCTCAAAGTTATAATCTCCAATGGTGATGCCCCCCAGTATTCGAGGTTGATCGAAAAGAAGCCTTAAATACTTGTCGAGTGATACTTAGGTAGCATATAGGTGTTGCCTCGTTAAAAACCTTGCCGGTAAAACCCATTTGGGATAAAACCCGTTCCAAGGGAAAAAGAGTGCAACGCATGCTTTCAAACCCAAGGTCTTCGAGCTCAGCAGTAATATCGCTTGAGCATTGATATATTCCAATTATTTGGTAGTTGCTCACCTTCCATTGTTTTGAGTTTTTATGATCCTTTCCCTATGACTCCGAGGACACGGTACGGTCCTTCCCAATTGGGACATAGCTTCCCTTCGTTTGGGTCTCGAGTGTTAAGAGTGACTTTTCTTAGTACTAAGTCCCCGGCTTTGAAATATCATAAGTTTGTCCTTCTGTTGTAATACCTTTCGATTCTTTGTTTTTGCGCGGCCATTCGTATTAATGCGGCCTCACATTTTTCATCCAGTAGCTCGAGAGAAGTGTTCATCGCTTTGTTATTTGAGCCTTCGGTGGCATGCTGAAACCTTGCGCTAGGCTCCCCGACTTCGACTGGATTAAAGCTTCGGACCCATATACCAAGGAAAACGGGGTCTCCCCCATGCTTGACTTAGATGTTGTCCGATACGCCCATAATACCTTGGGCAATACCTCTCTCCATTTCCCCTTGGCATCATCTAGCCTTTTCTTCAAGTTTCGAATAATGGTTTTGTTGGTGGACTCGGCCTGCCCATTTGCACTTGGGTGGTAAGGCGCTGATAGGATCCTTTTGATTTTATGGTCCTCAAGGAATTTTGTCACTTTGCTGCCGACGAACTGTTTTCCATTGTCACATGTTATTTCGGCGGGTATCCCGAACCGACATATGATATGGTCCCATATGAAATCGATGACTTCTTTTTCTCTTATTTTCTCGAAGGCCTGCGCTTCAACCCATTTTGAGAAGTAGTCAGTCATAAACAAAATAAATCTAGCTTTACCTGGCGCCGTTGGTAGGGGGCTGATGATATCCATCCCCCATTTCATGAATGGCCACGGGGATAAGACCGAGTGGAGTTGTTCACCGGGTTGATGAATTATTGGTGCAAATCTCTGGCACTTATCACACTTTCGAACGAACTCCTTGGCATATTTTTCCATGTTATCCCAATAATATCCTGCTCTGATCACCTTACAAATCAAAGAGGCTGCACCAGAATGGTTTCCACAGGAGCCCTCATGGATTTCCCGTAGTACATAGTCTGTATCCTCGGGTCCCAGGCACCCCGCCAGTGGTCCATGAAAGATTCTTCTGTATAACGTTTTGTTTTCATCGAGCGAGAATCGAGCCGCTCTAGCTCGGAGTGTTCTTGACTCTTTTGGGTCCGCGGGGAGCTTCCCATGCTTTAGATAATCGATGTATTTATTCCTCCAAACCCATGTTAAGCTCTTCGAGTTAATCTCTGCATGGCCTTCTTCGATCATTAATTTTGATAGCTGGATGACAGCCCCCGGGACGATATCGTCTTCTTCGACTGATGATCCCAACTTTGCTAGTACGTCGGCCTCGCTGTTCTGTTCTCGAGGTACATAGTCCAGTGTCCATTCCTTGAAGCGATATAGTGTTACTTGAAGTTTTTCCAAGTACCTCTGCATTCGATCGTCTCGAACCTCGAAGCTTCTATTTACGTGGTTTGCCACCAAAAGGGAATCACACTTTGCCTCGATGACTTCTGCTCCAAGGCCCTTGGCTAGTTCAAGACCTACGATCATGGATTCATACTTGGCCTCATTGTTAGTCAATTTAGAAGTTTTGATAGACTGTATAATAACACTGCCCGTGGGCAATTTCAAAACGATGTCGATCCCGGACCCTTTCACATTTGAGGCACCGTCGGTGAAGAGGGTCCAAACCCCCGCTGATGTACCCGTTTTTAGCAAGAGTTCTTTTTCTACTTCGGGTATGAGGGCAGGTGCGAAGTCGGCCACGAAGTCTGCCAAAATTTGAGACTTGATGGTCGTCCGAGGTTGATATTCGATATCATATCCTCCAAGTTCGATGGCCCATTCGGCCAATCTGCCCGATAATTTGGGCTTATGCAAGATATTTCGAAGCGGATATATAGTTAATACACATATAAGATGGCATTGAAAATATGGTTTTAATTTCCTAGATGCGCTTATTAATGCAAGAGATAACTTTTCCAAATGTAGATACCTCGTTTTGGCATCCCCCAGGGTCCGACTCACATAATAAATAGGAAATTGCATACCTTGCTCTTCTCGAACCAACACACCACTTACCGCTACCTTGGACACAGATAAATACAAGTAGAGTGTTTCATCCTCCTTCGGAGTATGGAGCGAGGGTGGGCTTGAGAGATACCGTTTTAATTCTTCCAGGGCTAGCTGGCATTCCGGGTTCCATGCGAAGTTGTTCTTTTTTTTAAGCAGGGAGAAGAAATGATGACTCCGATCTGATGATCTCGAGATGAATCGACCCAGGGCCGCTATTCGTCCGGTCAGCCGTTACACGGCTTTCACATTGTTTACCACAGTGATTTCCTCAATGGCCTTGATTTTTTCGGGATTGATCTCGATGCCTCTGTTCGACACCATGAAGCCCAAGAACTTGCCCGAGCTGACTCCAAAAGTGCACTTCTCAGGGTTGTGATTCATGTTGTACAATGTCACCTGCAAATGGGTCAAATGTTCCTCTGCGCAGGGACTTAACTAGCATATCATCAATATAAACTTCCATGGATTTGCCTATTTGATGTTTGAACATCTTATTAACTAAGCGTTGATATGTTACTCCTGCATTTTTTAGGCCGAAGGGCATTACATTATAACAATATGTTCCATACTTGGTGATGAATGAGGTTTTCTCCCGGTCCCCCGGGTTCATTTGAATTTGGTTGTACCCGGAGTAGGCGTCGAGAAAGGTAAGGATCTCGTGGCCGGCCGTAGCATCGATCAAACGATCGATGTTGGGCAATGGGAAAGAATCTTTAGAGCACGCCTTGTTCAAATCTTTGTAATCTACACACATTCTAAGTTTATTCCCCTTTTTAGGGACTACCACTACGTTAGCTAGCCATTCAGGATATTTTACTTCCCTTATGGATCCTATTTTCAGGAGTTTGGTTACCTCTTCCTTGATGAATGCATGTTTTACCTCGGACTGAGGTCTCCTTTTTTGCTTCACTGGCTTGAATTTGGGATCGACACTTAGTTGATAGGTAGTTATCTCCGGTAGGATCCCTGTCATATCTAAATGGGACCAAGCGAAGCAATCAATATTATCGATGAGAAATTGAATGAGTTTTTTCTTGAGTTAGGGGGTTAACCCCGTCCCCAGGTATACCTTNTGCTCGATTAATATGACCTGTTCGAGCTCTTCGATCGTCGATTTTGTCGCATCTGATTCTTTGGGGGCAACGAAGGTTCGGGGAGTGAGGAAATCTTCTTCCTTGTCCCCAACCACCTGTTCATCGGACATTTGTCCCTCGGTCTCAACCGAGGGCACGAGCTGTAATTGCTATTTGGCCGTCGGTTCATCCCTCGACTTCTCCAATGCGGATGGTGTCGACACCAGCGCCGAGTCGTGCACTGCAAACATTTCCTTGGCTGCATGCTGCTCTCCATAT